GGTAGGGATGGTGTCATACTTTTCTTGATACAGGGGTTTACATAGTAAAAGAAAGGGAGGCTATGCACAGTATAGCTGTGCAAAAAGAATGAGAAAGAACATGAAGGAAGGAATGTATGCTGACAAATCCTGCATAGGTAGTACAGGATAAGATTGTCAAAATAAGGAAAAGAAAGAGATAGAACAATAAATGCTGTGTAAGTAATGTCACAGGTTTGTACAGCCATAAAGTAAAGTCCAATAGCAAAAAGAGAGCAGGAAAATCATGATGTCATGGGAAGATGCAGTAAAAAAAGGGCAAGGCAAAACACTATCAGTATCAACACAGTTCCTTTATTGTCAGTCAGGCATTCTAAAAAAATATGTGTCCATAAAAATGATTCAAAAATCAAAAATAATTGCACTGTGAATGAATGTTCTGCTGAAAAAAAGAAACTGGAGCCACCGGTCCACCACCTAGTCCAAATCCGACAGTTCCATGGCCTTACCAATGTACTGGTTGTGTTGGACCACCTGATCAAATGAGGGAGGGAGAGGAGTAGTTCCAATTTGGAACAAGTGAGTCCCAGGCAGCATGTGGTAGCTGTAGCTGTAGCGAAGACGATGGACAAAAGATAAGTGTACCCAAGTGAATGGGACAGCGATGAACATGGGCGACGCAAGGGGATGAACCTTCTCCAGCTCAAAAACTACCTACCCACGCTCCAACCAGGCAAGACGAGCGACCGATGTTTTGATAGTATATGATGGCAGATCGACGTCATGAAGATGGACCTGTTGCCCTATTTGGACTGGCTGCCGGGGCTTTGCTGATATCAGCAGTGGCACGTGGTAGTCAGCGGATTGGCGACGGAAGCGGATGGGAAGTGGTGACATCAGAAATGGTGGGGGAGCAAAGAAGATGAGGAGGAGGAGGGTGGAGGTGACGAAAAAGTGGATTAGAATGGGGATCCAGAAACGACCGTCAGGTGAGAATAAAAAGGAGAGGAAGGGGCCCATGGTGGGGCTAGGCAAAGGAAGGGGAGTAAGGGAAACAACAAAAGCGAGGGCGCAATGCAATGTATAGCCAGTGGCAACGCAAAAATTTGCCGAAATGCCGAAATGCAGAAAGTACCAAATGGAAAAGCAAAGGTGAACACGACTGGATTGCCTAATAGAGGTGGTGCTGATCAGCCACAAATTCGAAAAAGACAATATTGATTACTATTCCATGTGGCACTGTGCCTGTGTGGCGCAAAGGCGAGTCTTTTTGAATATTCACTTCATTCTTGACACCTGTCCATGCTACCAATCAACTTTGGTGCATGACACCGTCTGCACTTGCAGGGAGTAAGAGGTACGATGAGCTTGAGGTCAACAGATGCTAGCAAATATAGCAAGTAGAGGACTTTTGGGAGTAAACTCAAGGGTTTCTTGGTAAGGAGTAAAGCGGGTTATTCAAGTAATAGAAAGCTAAAGAACTATACATGGATATGTAGGGCTCATATAGCTAACCGTCTATCCCTCAGACTGAAAGAGGAATAAAAGAAAAATGGTCTGAGGAAGAAATCAACCAATAAGAAGAAGAATAACTATCCTACATCTTCTAAGGATTAATCAGCAGGTGAGAGAATGTACTAATAATAAGTATTGTTATGCATGTTCAGGAACCGTATCCTCATGGTGAGGTACAATCCTGACTAAAGTGTTTATTAATATCTCCAGGCACTGATGGGGCTTGGAGC